TGTGTGTGTGTGTGTGTGTGTGTGTGCTAGATTAGAGGGCTGAGGAAACAAGAACCGGTCAGGTCCAAGTCTTCCTCACCTGATTAAGACAGAGGGGACTTCAAATCCAAGTGATTCAGGTAAAGAGACCTCCTTCCTTTTGGTTGCTGTGACTCTGCTGTTTTGTTATATTTAAATTGGCCTAGTTCAGCGTTGAGTTTGATAACATGGCCAGCATTTAGCACAAGGGCTTCTGATTTGATTTGTCTGATCTGCTGGCTGGAGAAAGCATAACCAGGGAACAATGCCCCCTTCCATTTTACTTAGCATGCTTTGTGCTTTCTACATGGGAAAATCTCACCTTAAGATCTTTGCAAACTGGATCTTTGGGGAACATGTTCTGAAAACTATCAGCCTGGCTCTTGAATTTTGTCAACTCAGAATGTCCCATACTTGATTCACCCCAAGTCAGTTCTTTCTTTTGAGTGCTCTGATGAAGAGTTGAATGCGATTTAGAAGACAGCGCCCCCTGCCTCCCCCTCCCCCCCCCCCTCCCTGCGACCCAATAACTGTTGTTGGCATACATGCCCCATTGCATAAGAATTGGTGATGTGCTCCTCACTTTTCCTATACCTAGAAGACAGAAACCTGAAGAAAGCCCACCATCCATTGAACAGCAGGGGGCTGGAGCCATTTGGTAGACAGCGGGGGTCCTGTCTGGAGAGCCCAGCCTCCAATCCCTGCAGTTTTCCAATCTCACACTTTGCCAGCTGAGTGCTCTGAGGACTCCGTGGGATGACATAAAACCTCACCCTGGAGGTGCTGCTGGGCATTTGCTATTCTACCTGGTGAATCCTGGACAAGTAAGGGCCTGCCATGAAGCCCCGTAGGGCACTCTCCGCTGTTTTATACTGTGTACTCAGTTGGGGAAAAAAAAAAAAAACCAAACAAACCAACAACCAGCCTCACCATCTCCAGTGCTTGTTTCTGGGGAAAAGGTGTCTGGGCACTTACTTAATGAGGGCAGGAGACAAGTCCCCAGAGCTCTAAGGAGGCTATTCAGAATCCTGTCTTACTTGTAAATGATTATACCCATCCATGACCACGGGACATTTTGGGGAGACAGTCCAAAACCCTCACAAACTCCATTATCAAGCCCTTGGACTATCGCTGCTTCCGTTAGAGGATTTGTTTGAACCCAGACCTATCTCCCACAGCCCATTTACACCTTTTATCTGATCACCTAGCTCAGACTGAAGGTTGAATTGACCGAGTCAGCCCGTGTCCATGGCAATGGTGTTAAAGACCACCATAGATCAAAGCGCTCCTGGAGTAGGAAGGAAGACGGTTATGGGTTCTGGCTTCTTTCTGGCCCCGAGCCGTGGGTCTCAAGGGACTGGGGGGAGGAGGAGTAGACATTAAGCCTGGGATTTGCCACCTTCTGAAGAACCCACAGCAGGGACAGTGATTTCTTAGGTAGAAAGCAAAAACTCTGAGGATCCACTCTAGCAGAGCAGTTTTGTGGTTCGGTGCTGTTGGGGGAATGACTAGCGCCAGGGGGCTCTCCTCTCTGTCAGAAACTGAAAAGAAGGGAAGCAGAGAGAGCCAAGCAGGGAGTCTACGCCAATAAACGGGAGCGTCCAGTCCCTTCCCTTCCAGCTGAAATTCAACCTGAGCCACAGAATCTGCGGCTCAGATGGGAGTATCCGCTACGTAGATCTGGAAAGCTGATTCCAGTGCCCCCAACCCCCGGAGATTCCCAGAGTGTCACCCAAACCGTTCCACACTCCCTCACACACGCAACGCCCACCTTAGGACAGTCGGTCCACTCGTGCCCTCCACGCTGATGCTACTTAGGGACCGGTGGAACACACTGGGGCGCAGGCAGCCGGAGGCGAGGGGTGGGGGCAGCCGTTTAATCACAGTTTGTCTCGCCTCCATTAACTTGTGTTGATATTTAAAAAGAAATCAATCAGGGAAACTGAAGCAGGGAACTGGTCGTGAACACTATTTTTTCCCCACGTGGGCACGGGCAGCGAGGAAGGGGCGGGGGGGTGGTGTGAGGGCGGCAATCTGCCTGCAGGCTACTGCAGTGGCTGATCTGGAGGACAAGCCGCAGCCACGACCTAACTTTCTGGCATTGGGCAGCGTCAGGGAAATGCCGCAGGCTTCTATCCAGGGGTGTCCTTAGTCTTGAAGAGGAGGGGACCGGTCTGGAGGAATTCTAGGCGGCCAACTTAGCAGAGGCTTATAGCCTCGGTTCTGCTTTTGCTGGGAATATTTTTGCCTAATAGAATGTTTATGGATTGCTCAGCTCTGTTTCTGCTGCGTAGCCCAAACAAATCGATGCGGCGGTAGGGACGGTGCTGGGGGATGGGGGTGAGAGCGCTGGGGGGCGCCCACGTCTCGGCCACGTGGATGCCCGCGCGGCGTGCTCTTCACCTGTTTGTGCGCTCAGGCTGTGAGAGTTGCGCGCATTCCTGCGGTTTAGGCTGCCTGGCGGCTCCTCGCCTCTCCCCGCCCTCGGTGCTGCAATCCCACCCCGGCTTCCTGCCTCCCGGCCAGGCTAGCACGAGAGTCTTTCGGCTTCAGGCCCCCAGCTTCTACATGCCAGTTCTCCAGGGGCTGCGGCGAGCTTGCAGCGCCTAGCACAGCTCCGGGAGTAGGAGGGGGCGCTCCGAGCCGGCTCAACCCAGCTGCCCACAGACTCCGGCGGGAGGGTATGCGCCTGGGAGCCCCATGCATGGTGCCTACAGGGCCTTCCAGCTACCACGAACCGGCCGGGTATTTGCTCAGTTGCCCCCACGTGTGCCCGCCACCTTCTTTCCCGGCCTCCTTCTCGGAATAGGCTCCCGCCGCCGCCGTAGTGCCAGGGCCAGCCCACCTCCTGGCGGGCGCACATAGGGTGAGTCAGAGGTCTAGCTTGGCCTCGCCCTTAGCCACCCGGGCTAGGTCTCCCGGTACCAATCAGTTACTCGACTGAAACCATGACCGGCGATTGGTCACCTTTTCGGGCAGCCAGATAATATCTACTCAGGGCGAGTCCCAACCCTGGTTCGAGGCTGCCCGCGGGGCTTAGCGGGGCTACGCACCCCGCGCTTTTGAGCTTCTCTGGAAGTGACGCAGCGAGACCAGAGATTGGGAGGGAGCTCTGCAGAGAGTGCGGGAGGCAGGTGGCAGAGCAGGAGTGGGTCCGAGCGAGTGTCATACACACACACGTACACATGCTCCACGCAGCGCTCAGGGACAGATGTGCGAACATCTGGGATAGGAGATGGTCCCCGAGTCTTCACAATCCCTTTCGCTTCGCACATCACATGGAACCTGAAGTTGTGTGTGCGCGCACGCATGTGTGTGTGTGTGTGTGTGTGTGTGTGTGTGTGTGATGTGTGCCAGTGTGCGCGCACTCGCACACCGGGGGCCTACCGGAGTCCGGTCTTGAATACATAATATACCGTGGGCATTCTCAAGAAGCGCGCGTGCGCGCGCGCGCACACACATTCACACATACACAGCAAACCACACACATACATAATTTACGCAGCATTCAGGTCCGTGGGAGGTAATTTAATTTCTATTCAAGCTGGGAATTCAGAATTAAGGCAATATGGAATGCTAGGCCCAGAAAATTTCCCCAGGACGGACCTGCACCCAACCCTTCCTTGGCTCGTGCTTTACAGTTGCCTGTACGACCAGTTACCGCAGAGACGGAGCTGCAAAGGCTTGGATTGGGGTCTCAACGGGATTTCCCACTCTGCCAAGCCCCAAAAGGTAGCAAAAAAAAAAATCTATGTCCCACGTAAAGTGACTGTATTTGTGTGTTGGGAAAGGGACAAGAAGCTTGGTAGCCGCTAAGCTTTCGCCTCAGGACCCGCTAAGCATGGTGCGGGGGCGCCAGGGTGGCTGTGACGAAGGAGAGCCACCACTGCAGCTGGCTGTCTCCGCCGAGTGCCTCGAGGTAATAGCACTTCTCCGAGTTTTAGTCTCTGTCTTTCCTCCCTTCTTCTCTCCTTCCCCCATTTCCTTAGTAGATGGTATCCCATCCCCAGTCACCTGTAGGAGCAAACGCTAAGAGTTTTTTCAGGTTCCAGACACTGTCTTAGAGCGGAGGGGAGCACCCTTAGAAGCAGTCCCAGGGTGGAAGAACCGCATTCCCAGAGACCAGGGACCTGTTTTCAGAGAGGTATCCCTTGTCGCACTCGACAAGAGTTGGCCCTGGCCTCTCCTAGGCCCCGCTGTGCTTATCTCTCTCTGCAGCCTGTGTCCACACACCCTTTTTGGCAGTGCTTGAGAACAAATTCCACTCAAAAGTTTCTAACCACTTCACAAGAGAAGAGACTGCCTGCCGAGGGTTTGTTTTTATCTTTTAAGAAAAAAATTTAAAGAACATGATTTGCTGTCCCAGAAACACACGGATTCAGGAGAGAGTGGGGACTATCAACTGCCCACGGAAAAGCTCCCATGATGGCCACAAGCTAGCTTGGTCCACTAGCTTCAGCCCTCTGGTTCTGAGATGTAGCCACCCATTCTGCAAAGAATCCACACATCTGAAAACCAAAGCTAGACTTTTGCTCTTTTCCCAAGCCCTTCAGCTAACATTGCTCAATGTAGCTAAGTGGAGGGAATGCAAATGATTTATATTTCACTGGCTAGGTTGAAGAAACTCAAGGGAGATGTGTTCTGCTTCAAGACAGGGAGAAAAAAAAATCCCCAAAACTGTAATGCAAAGGCTTTGTAGTATTTTTAAACCTTTGATTCAGTCCATATGTGACATCTGAACACCGCCAAATTCTGTTACAAAACACACACACACACACACACACACACACTCCCTTAGTAAGAGAGAAAAGTTGTGTTTAGCAGCCCCGATGGTGTAAAGAAGGCCGCTGAGATCTCCCTTTACATTATTGAGTATTGAGGGAGCCTCCTCCTGAGCGGTTCTGAGTGGCTTCTCTGCATTAGCAATAGCCTTTAAAGAGGGAACCATGTAAAAATGAATAGAAAAACTTTGAAGGGCTTACCTTGCTGGCTTCTCACTTTGTGTCCTGAAAAGTACAGAGCTAAGAAAACCCAGGTAAGAGGAAACATATCCATTTTTGACAGAGAGGCTCTCTCCGGGGCTAGGTTTGTGGGATCTCGTATAATTATGTCTTTGTGTTTTCCTCTCTAATTTTCTTCCTTGTGGTGTCTTCTGTAAAGGTCTCTAACGATCAGCGTTTTCCTCCAGGGTCCTGGCGGTGTGTCTGTCTTCACCTTTATTCTTGCTGGAATATCTCCACCTTACTAGGAGATAGCTCCTGAAATCAGCAAAGAGGGAGCAAGCTGGGGAAGCGGAGACCGGTTTCCTCTTCAAACCCAAACGCGTGTATGTTCTCTCCAGTTCCTCAAAGTGTCATTTCCTTTATCCTACAACATCACGAGGGTTTCCCAAAAGCTAAGCGCAAAATAATAGTAATAATAATAAAAAATCAAAGCCAAGAATTGTCCTGGGCATCACACGGCCCCTAGGCAGCTGTGTGATCTCAGAAGCGCAAACTGACACAGGTCCCCCGGCACCCGGGACACACACGCGGGCAGAGGCACGGACCGCTGGACAGGCGGAGTGGAAGGCAGTCAGGCTCCCGGCTCTTGTCCTCTCCGGGTTCCCCTAAGCGGGAGCCTCCCCCGGCGGCTACACCCGCTTGGCCAGTCTCTGGAGGGGAGTGCGAGGCAGGAAGCTGCTGCGGCCGGTGCTGCTGGTGCTGCTGCGGGTGCGGCGGCGGCTGGGATCGCCCGCGAGTGTGCGAGCCGCTCTCCGAGTTCGCTGGCGCCCGCCCTCACCTCCACCTCGCCCAGCGCCGGGCTGAGTGTCTGTGCTTCTGAGGATGTGCCGGGGGCGGGCTGCGGGCTGGTGCCTCGCTCGCCTCCTCTGCCTCCCCTCCGGCTCCCCCCTCGCCTTTTCAGGCCGAGCAGCATGTGGATGTCAGAGCCGCGGCAGAGCGATCCGATTACGCGCCCGCTCAGGGCCCGCCCCTTCTGTGTTCCTGATTAAAGAGGCAGCCGCGGAGACGCGCGGCGCAGAGCCGAGGACCGCGGCACCCAGCTCGGGCGGGGCGGCGGTGGCTCGCAACCCCGCGGCCGCGCGATCAAAGTTAAGGTGCCACGCAATCCTGCTGCCCCTCTCCCAGTCGGCACCTCCCTCCCGCCCCGCGCACCTCTGTGCCGGGCTGCGGGTGTGTCACACCCGGAGCAAGGAGCGCCCTCCCTTCAGGGCGCGCTGCCTCTGCCGGAGGGAAACTCCGCAGAGCCCGGGAAATTCTTGTTCTGAGACTCAGATGTTACACACTCAGAAGCCAACACAATGCCACCTGCAATGGCGTTACAGGAGTTGGGTGGCGAACCGTGTTTGGCGTAGGCAGCCAGTCGGCAGCTCAGCCCTGTGTTCTCAGAAGCAGCAGTGCATGGTGGCGACACACAGTCAGCCTTAGCCTTCGATGAACCAAACCTCAAATACTTCTTAGGTTTACTTCTCATATCCTTTGTTGTGTCCCAAACAGTCTTCTCTGCGGTCTGGGTTAAGATTTACTTCAACTTGCGCCCTTGACTTGGAACTATCTTTAAACAAGGGACGATTTTATTGAGTAAAGAATTTCCCCAGGCAATTAAAATGTCCCCCGGCCACCTAATACACCTTCAAGCTTCGGCACATAGTTCAGGTACACGAAGGCCTCTTGGAATGCTACTGTTAACTACTTCTGTTCATGTTTCCCCAAGGAGATGTGGTCACAATGTTGACAGAAAGAAAATAGCATTGTGTTACCTATTTTTAAGTGGAGACATGAAAACTGTTTCAAGGAGCTGTGAGCTAACAGTTGGGGAAACACTTGCGTCTTTGTTTCTGAGGGTGGCTGGGTGATCTCCAACTGTCATATTCACCAGATATCATTGCTTTACCGTGATCAAGATTCAACAGAGCACACCTGGCAAGCTTTTCAATCCCTTTCCTAGCAGTCTGCAGATTAAGAAACAAGTTTGGGTGACAAGGGACAGTCACATCTGCCTATACCATTTTTTTCTCTCCCTTAGCGTGGACATATGGGTTCATCTGGTTGGTTTCTCTCCTTATCTGGACTTGCTATTAGCTTTGTTTATCACAGTCAATGTTTGGGGAAAAAAATCTGTAACTCTCACTTAACTGTTATTTACATGGAGATAAACCCAAACAAAATTGAATCAGAAGTGATTGGCAACCAGTTGAATGAAGACAGAGGGGTTTTCCAGTGGAAGTCCAGATGCTGAATACTGAATATCACATAGTTAATCTTAGCTGCCTGGGTGCAATGGGCAGGAGTCAGAGGCCCCCTGAGTTCTTCCAGAGAGCAACACACACACACACACACACACACACACACACACACACACACCGCACCTCAAATACTCATAGGAGCTAGTTTTGATTTCCTTTATCCTTCCTTTCCCTTCCTTGTTTCTTTTTTCTAGGCTTAAGAGAAAATCAGTATCACTAAAGCTCCAGAGTTACATTTGCTTGGTTTAAGGTCCAGTTGTAAAGAATGATCTCCCAGTTCCAAATATTTGATGAAGGAAGAGGGGAAGTCTGGATTTTGGACCTTAAGCTTAAATCCTGGCTTGTGTTGTTGGCAAAGCACTAATCCAAGGACAAACAACGCTATCTGCACTAACAGTGCCTGAAAGGGAAGAGTTACTCAGTGTCACAGCTGCACTGCTCTCCAGGCAGACTTATCCATTCCAGCGTGGACTAGAGCTGCACACAGCCACTTTCTGAGAACGCTAAGGATAGGGGTTAGGCAAAGGGCAGAGAGGGGAGGAGGGAGGGAGGGAGGGAGGGAGAGAGAGAGAGAGCCAAAGCCCATTGGGAAACCATAAGGATGACAACCGGAACTGCTGGGCCTGGGACCTCAGACTTGAGGGTTCCTGTCTAGCTGCTTCCAGGGTTCTCCCTGCTTCTGGGAAAAGTCAGTAAGAGTCAGTGTTCTGTTCCTGGATCCTGCTTCAGGCATTATGGGTCTTCGTTTTTTTCAGAGGTGTTCTAAAGGGGGCGCTAACTTGCTTTCTGGGAGCCTCTGTGTCTCTGCGTGCAAGGCTTCACTGCAGTCCACTGGAGTGAAGGCTTCCTGTTCTGCAGATGGCCGGAGGGAGGGAGAACCCCTGGGGACTTAAAGCAGCCAGAGCTTTCCCAATCCTCTAGGGGGCAGCACTCAATAAATAATTGCCCATGCCACCAAAGACCTCTATATGTGCTGGAGAGCTCCTGTCTTCTCAAAGGACTTCAGCAAACTAGGGGAAATTCAGAATCAGGCTACCGAATCTTCCAGTCGACTCTGAACAATATCTCACTGGCCTCTAGAGCGCTTAGAATTGCTTTCACCTAGGACTTTCAAGGACTCTTCAGAACAGAACACAAAGTCCTATGTGGGGCACATCGAAAAAGGCTCTTTAGGGAAAGTTTCCAGGCTAGGGCTGGCTCAGACCTGTCAATTGTTTTTAATCTAGAGTGGAATCTGTGGGGTCTGCTGCCATGCGTTTTGTTTTAAGAGCCAAACCAGTGGTAAGTTGGTTGAAGAGCCACTGCCACGTGTGTCCACATCTCTGACCCTTGTTTATGAAAAGACCAGGAAATTTTCTGTTTCAATGGTTTTATGACTGGAAACACTGAACTGGCCCCTAACAGCTCATAGTGAAGCAAGGATTACTGAACTTACCTCTCACTCAGCTGAGATGCCCACATCACTGTCCCTAATTACATAATAATAATAATAATAATAATAATAATAATAATAATAATCATGATAGTCATATCCTACAGTCCTTAGATGGGGAGGAGTGGGTTAGGAGAACATAGAGCAAGTTTCCAGGTGATACTAAAAGGAAGCTGTCTTCAGATACTTCCTGTGGAAAATCAGGATATCCTGAGCTATACAGTCCTAAACTTGAAGGGCATCGGAATCATGGGGTTGGGGTAGGGCAGGTGTTAAAATCCAGGTCTTGGGGCACCAGCCTCCTGTGGGTAGAATTGCATAATCTGAGATGACTTCTGGGTGTCTGTATTTTTCCCACACAAGTTTTAGATGATTCTGACCCATAGACCAATTGAGCAATAATTTTGATATATGCCATTTACGTACAGCCTTCAATGCATCTTCTATCAAAGGGTATTTAGCAAAGTATTCCCTTCACACTCTCTCTGTGAACACTTTTCGGGTGGGGTCTGATGTTTCAGATTTCAGGAGAGCCTCACCAAGAATATATCCACCAAAGTGCCATGATGGTGGAGTTCCTAGCTTTATCTTGTGACTTTGAGAAGCAGTGGGCCAAAGAATCTATTTGGAAACCACCTCAAAGTTGACCTGGGGTAGCGGGGAGAGCTGGAGCAACATGGTCAGAGGACCAGTTATGGGAGTTTGTGGAGCTGGAGTCAGCCTTTCCCTCCATACAAACATCAGTGGTAGCTGCCAGCAGCTTCTTCAGGTATGCGTTTCCATTTGTGTTCATCAAATTGTGTTAAATGTTCATAGATGCGTGAATATGCAGGGGGCATGGAAACCAGACAGGCCCTGGGGTTCTGTCTCCTGGGAACACAGGATCTCAAAGCTCCAGAAGTTTTCACGCTTCCACAATAGACACCGCCTGTCACATGGTGTTCCCTTATCAGAGCCCTGGCTTCGACAAGCTCTCACCCTGAAAGGGAGCGATAGGAGGCATAATTACATCTTAATCTGTAATTTACTGCTCTGTCCCAGTTAATGTTTAGCTGCATCCGTCTCAGAAGCAAACCTTCGGTTAAAATGTAATAGATCCTCATTTTGTATCCTCTCTCTTGTTTGATGTTGAAGTCCAGGTTGTGATCAATAGGAGTCTCCTTCTCCCATCTGCCCCACCCCCAACATACTTTGAAAATACTTATTTGTTTTCCTTAACGTACTTGAACACCACTTAATTGTTTCTTTTTGGTATTGTATTTGGTGGGTTCCTTGGTGATTTTCATGAAGTATTGAAATCTTCTCTGTTCCAAATTGTGTGTATGTATGTGTCTCAGGTCTTACTCAGCCTTAGACCAAAATTTGATAGGAAGAACCCTTGTACATAAAACACAAGAGGCAACCAAATGCAAAATGTATTCAAACATCCCTTGGCAAGAAAAACTTAAGTCTTCCTGTTTTCTCTGCTCTCCTAGTTCCCTCCTTTAGTTACTTTATGTACATTTGGAGCTTTGGAACATTAAAAAGACTGAGCCCACCAACCCCTTCCTCTAAAGGAGACCCTTGTAAGGTAACTACTCACCATGATGGAGAACCTATGCTTTTCACCTGGTGTTGTGTATTAGTTTCCTCTGAGATTGAAACATTCCAGCTGTCCTGGAACTCTCTGTAGATCAGGCTGGCCTTGAAAGTGGAGATGGTTGAGCCTAAAGGCATGCACTACCGTGCCCAGCAGGGAAGTTCTTTAAATGTTAAACAACTCAAAACAGCCTCAGGAAGACCCTGAAACTGACCAGATTCATTACAACCCTTCCTGCCCAAGGAAACAAAAGACCTGAGAGTCCCTCTAAGAATGAAGGAAGCTGAGCTGCAGAGAAGACTCTGAGACCAGATCAGCTGCCTGGAAGAGGTTTAGACCAGAGTCACTTGGAAAGGACACTCTCCAACCTGTTGAGCTCTCTGCAGGCTGTGCAGTGTGCTCCAGGTTCCCAGCATTGAAAGCTGTCATCCCCTGCTGGGGTGAGCTTTGGTGATGCAGCTGTCTTTGAGCAACCCCTCACCCAAATTCTTCTAAGTAACCTCAATAAAACTCATTGGTTCACCAAGTTGGACTTTAGTGGTGTCTGTAGTTTGTATCTATTGTTAAATCACTATCTGGGGTGAGGAGGTGAGTAGGCCTGACTGTGTGTCTCCCTAGTAAAAGTTTTATCACACATCATGTGGCTTTTCCATGTTCAAAATGTGGCTAGTGTGACCAAGGGACTGAAT